CTGTCTCTGAAAAAAAAAGTGGGAACTAGAGTCAACTCCTGAGCTGGCATGTGAGTAACACTCACCCCCATCTCTCCCTGACCTTTCTAGGTTTGCAGAGAGCACAGTTGGCAGGGGAAGGTAAAGAAAGAGGTGGAGATGGAATTGGGGGGGTGTGCTGCTACAGCATATGGTGTTGTGATCTCTGCTCACTGCGAACTCCGCCTCCCAGGTTCCAGTGATTCTCCTGCCTCTCAGCCTGCCAAATAGCTGGGATTACAGGCGTGCGCTACCACGCCCGGCTAATTTTTGTTTTTTAGTAGAGACGGGGTTTCACCGTGTTGGCTAGGCTGGTCTGGGACACCTGACCTCAAGCAATCCTTCCACCTCAGCCTACCAAACTGCTGGGATTACAGGTATGAGCCACCGCACTCGGCCCCATTTGAAATTATTTAGGAAAATTTAAAGATATGCATCCCTGATGACCCAGAAATTCCATCCCTCCAAGTACACTAAGAGAAGGGAGCAAGCAAATCAGGAAATATACTCAATCATCACTAGGTGATACACACTCAGTCCTGAAACTCAGCCAATTAGCAACGGCCCCCGTGAAAGTCAGCCAAAGTCAGCCAATCAGTGACAGCCCCACCCTTCTAGACAACAGCCAGTCAGCGAGCAATCCTTCCTGTCGCCGCCATTTTAAAGTCGCGCCTTGGTAGCAGCCTTATTGCAGTGAGTAGAGGAACATGCTAGAAAGCCCCGTGGCCTGCCTCTCAATGCTCCCGCTTCCCGAAGTGTGCCCATCACTGAAGACCTGGCTTCCCAAAACTTTCCCAAAGGTCTGGCTTTGTTCTGGAATATATCGTCTGACAAGTACAGCTTTCCCTCACAAGTAAGCACAAAATTGGCTTTATTTGCATTGAATATCCAGTACAATCTGTGGTAAATTCACGAGTTCTTAGGATTTGTTTATGCATAACGACGTGTAACAGAGCACTGTGAGATGCTTAAATTCAATCTTTTAAGTTCTTGGGGTTGCTAAGAATCTCTTTTTTGTGTTTATTTAACTCTCAAGCTGCTAAAATGTAGGTATAAATTTCGTGATAAATTTTCTGAACAGTAGACATTTATGAACGAGAAAAAAGTCCTTTTGAAGCTCTTTGAGTACTATCCAATGGTTCATTCAATATCAAAAATAGTAGAAAGTCAGATACAAACCAGTATAGTCTAGCTAAGTATACAGGACATAAGATTTCCTCAACTCACGCCAAAGAAACTGATAAATAAATTTTTGGCCAGGCGCGGTGGCTCACACCTGTAGTCCCAGCACTCTGGGAGGCCGAGGTGGGATCAGGAGCTCAGGAATTCCAGACCAGCCTGGTTACCATAGTGAAACCCTGTCTCTCCAAAAATACAAAAAATTAGCCAGGTGTGGTGGTGTGCACCTGTATTCCCAGCTACTTGGGAGGCTGAGGTGGGAGAATTACTTGAGTCCAGGAGGTCGATGCTGCAGTGAGCCATGATCACCCCGTTGCACTCCAGCCTGGGCGACAGAGCAAGATCCTGTCTCTAAATAAATAAATAAATAAGAATTTTTTTTTTGAAAAGAAAAAGACCTGTTAATTAGGCTGTTTTGAGTAAAATCCCTTTCAGTTGAGATTTCAGAAAGAATAGAAATTTTTTGCAGAGACTTTTATTGAATTTGGATCTTAGGAGAAAAATGTGCTGCTTTTGGTGCTAGAGACTTTGAATTTTATTGTTTTTTTCCAAGAACTGGCATTTGGTTCCATTAATTTTCCCTTCCCCTTTCCCCTTTCGAGTCTCACTCTGTTGCCCAGGCTGGAGTGCAGTGGCACTGTGTTGGCTCACTGCAACCTCCGTCTCCTACGTTCAAGCAGTTCTCCTGCCTCAGCCTCCTGAGTAGCTGGGACTACAGGCGCCCACCACCACACCTAGCTAATTTTTATATTTTTAGTACAGATAGGGTTTCACCATGTTGGCCAGGCTGGTCTCGAACTCCTGACCTCAGGTGATCTGCCCACCTCGGTGTCCCAAAGTGCTGGGATTACAGGCGTGAGCCACCGTGCCCGGCCTCCATTGATTTTCTCTATTGTTTTTGCTTTCAATTTCATTGATTTCTGCTCTTACATTTTTATTTTTTATTGATTTTGAGACAGGGTCTGACTCTGCCACCCAGGCTGGTGTGCAGTGACATGATCTTGGTTCACTGCAACCTCTGCCTCCCAGGTTCAAGTGATTCCCCCCTGCTCAGCCTCCCAGGTAGCTAGGCTACAGGCACATGCCACCACACCTGGTTGATTTTTTTTTTTTAATTTCTTTTTTTTTTTTTTTTTTTGAGACGAAGTCGCACTCTGCCTCCCAGGCTGGAGTGCAGTGGCCCAATCTTAGCTCACTGCAACCTCTGCCTCCCAGGCTCAAGCAATTCTCGCGCCTCAGCCTCTCGAGTAGCTGGGACTACAGGCATGTGCCACCATACCCGGCTTTTTTCTCTTGAGGCGGAGTCTCATTGTTGTCGCCCGGGCTGGAGTGCAATGGCGTGATCTCAGCTCACTGCGACCTTTGCCTCCCTGGTTCCAGCAATTCTCCTGCCTCAGCCTCCTAAGTAGCTGAGATTATAGGTGTCAATTTTTTGTGTTTTTAGTAGAGATGGGGTTTCACCATGTTGGCCAGGCTGGTCTCCAACGTCTGATTCGCCCACACTGGCCTCCCAAAGTGCTGGGATTACAGGTGTGCGTCACGGCGCCCGGCCTGGCCGCCCTTATCTTTATTATTTCATTCCTTCAGGTGTAATTTTTAGACTTTCCTAAATTGGAAATTCAGATAATTGATTTGAGACCTTTCTTTTCTCATGTAAGCATTTTAATGCCATCAGTTTTCTTCTGATCACTGCTCTAGCTGTATCTCATAAATTTTGATTTGTTGTATTTTCATTTTTTTCAATTCACAATAGTTCTTTAATTTCCCTTGTGATTTTCTCTTTGGCTCATGGGTTAAAGTGTTTTGTGGCTGGGCGGGGTGGCTCATGCCTGTAATCCTAGCACTTTGGGAGGCCGAGGTGGGTGGATCACCTGAAGTCAAGAATTCGAGACCAGCCTGGCCAATATGGTGAAACCTCACCTCTACTAAAAATACAAAAACTAGGCAGACGTGGTGGCAGGCGCCTGTAATTCCAGCTACTGGGGAGGCTGAGGCAGGAGAATTGCTTGAACCCAGGAGGCGGAGGTTGCAGTGAGCCAAGATCATGCCACTGCACTCCAGCCTGGGCAACAGAGCAAAAACTCTGTCTCAAAAAAAGAAAAAAAAAAAGTGTTTTGTTTAATTTACAAGTATTTCGGGATTTTTCAGATATATTTCTGTTATTGATTTCTAGTTTAATTCCATTATGGTAAAATAATATATTTTCTGTGATTTCTGAGCTGTTTGGGTGTAAGATCTCAGAACACTTTTCAGGGCTGGTTCTCAGGTTATGAGGCCGTTCTTTGAGCATTTTTTTCCCACTTGCTTTGCCTGCATTAACAGCATGTTCTTTAGGTGGTCTCTCCAGGCAGTACAAGTGTGTCACCTTCATTTTGTTTGTGTTCAGGCCTCTGAATTGTTTTGTTGTCTACATGGAGTTATGTGGTCTCATGGTGGGCACGGTGGCTCACGCCTGTAATCCCAGCACATTGGAAGGCCCAGGCCAGGGGATCACCTGAGCCTAGGATTCGAGGCTCCCATCTGGTGAAACCCCATCTCTAGAAAAAAATAGAAAAATTAGTTGGGTGTAGTGGCCTGCTCCAGTAGTCCCAGCTACTGGGGAGGCTGAGGTGGGAGGATTGCTTGAGCTGGGAAGGCAGAGGTTGCAGCGAGCTGTGATCACATCACTGCACCCCAGCCTGGGTGACAGAGTGAGACCCTGCAAAAAGAAGATGTGGTCTCTGTACAGATTTAATCTGTATCCCAGGTGGTGAGGTCTCCGAGCTGTTTTGGAGTCTGTGTCCAGGGTATGAGGTATGTAAGGTGTTTGGGATTTGTTTTCCCAGCGTGCAACGTCCCTGAGGTGTTTCGGCCTTTGTGTCCCAGGGTATGAGGTCTCTGAAATGTTTGTAGGATTTTGTGATGAGGATGAGATCTATGAAGTGACTGGGAATCTATTAAGATATGTTCCATTATTGAGTTCTCTAAATTTTGTTTTGTGGTCTGTGTTCAGTGTGAGTTCCCTGAACTGTTTTGGACTCTGTGTCCCATGGTGTGAGATCTCTGAGCTCTTTTGTGCTCTGTGTGCAATGATGTGAAGTCCCTGAGCTATCTGGGCGTTTCCAGTAATGAGGTCTCATTCTGTTTCACAGCCAGCTGGTACTGTATGGTATAATTGCCTTTATGCGTTTGCCGTTTTCCCCCTTAGTTGTTTGCTCCTCTCATTCTTGTCCACACAGGGCTGTGCACGTATGTATGATTATTTCCTTAGAACACATCCTTAAAAGTGAAACTGCCAGGCCAAAGGAGTCATTTATTCAACAGATCCCCTTTTGAGCATCTACTGTGTGCAGGGCAGTTTCAGGCGGAGACTCTGGGGGTCTAGAAATATACATATCCCTCCCTACCTTCATGATGGTGACATTCCAGTAAGGAGGGGTGTCTGCTTTTTATTTTGATAAATGCTGCCACACAAAGGCACACTTCCATCAGTGGCCTCAGGGGAATGAATGCCCATTAATGGGCAGTGGCTCTGCAGCAAGGGTTTGGACGCCTGGGCCTTTGCTCTCAACCGGATCATCAGAGTATGGGGCAAGGACAGTGCTCTGGGGGACATGGGTTTGGGGAGACAGGGCTGGAACATGGGCAGGAGGAAGGCATGAAAGAGAGAGTCCATTTAGTAGTTTTGCGGTGAACTAAAGATTGATTCACTTGACATTGACATGAAAGAGTCCTTGTCGCACACACAAGGAGAGCGTGAGCGGTGGAAATGAAGGGTTAATGGCTAGACTGTGCAGCTCCAGGACCATACCACTACGGTGATGGGAGGTACCACAGGGGAGGGGTCGTGTATTCCGGAAGACACCATTGTACTAGTGGAGACACGAACGGTCTCCTCATCCCGCGAGTGGATCGGCCTCCACCCTAGACCGAGGAGAGAATGGCTCTGCCTGGACCGACCCCCGCGCCGGGCGGACCGGATCTTCGGCCTAAAGCGTCCACCTGTCTGGAAGCCGCCACCACCAAGCTTTTATTAATATATCCGTTCCCGCCGGGTTGGCTATACAGATGCGAATCAACTCCGGGGGTGGGGTGAGGAGCAAGGCCGCGGAGCGGTGATTGCTTCCTGGACGAGTTGCGTAGGGCGGGACAAAGTCCTGCCCTGAGCTCTGATTGGTCACCGCGAGACTGCCTACCTAAGCTCTTCCAGGGTACCGAGGTTTTCCGGGATCACTAAGAGGCTACAAACCGGGTCCTTCGGCTCCGCGCTCCCATTGGCTGCTGTTTCGGCGCAAGCGCTTTGGCTCCTGGGTTGGCGTTCAGGGTTGCCGAGGCAGGGCTTTGGCTACTGGAGACCGTAGGTTCGAATCCCGTCTGGGAACTTCAACTTGTGCATCTGTAAAAGAAGCTGGCATTATTGGCTTGTACTCAAGGGCTGGCACAGAGTGTGTCGGGTAATCTTTTCCATTTTCTTTTACCTATTCTTTCTTTTTTTAAACAATACCTATTGCATCCCATTATATTGATTTCAGGACCCACTCACCGTTCACAACAGTACTGAGAAAAACTCTTCTCCAGGTCCCTGGCATTTGTTTTTCAGGCTACCTGTAGGTCTGAGTCCCCCAGATAAGATTCAAGGTGATCTCATGATCTTCCTCCAGGCCAGCTCCCATCTCCCAGAAGAGGGTGACTTGGAGGCTTCTCTCAGGACCAGGCCTGACTAGGAGTGTGATGGGGTGGGCCATAAGTGACTAAAGAGAGATGCATGGTTTCATGCTCTGGGATGCTGAAGAGCTTGTGGCAATTACAAGGAGAATTTTGGAGCGAGGGCAAGACTTAAAAGAGTACACTTTTAAATGATGGGATGTTAAACATTGGACAGGGGAGGTGTTTGGCTGGTGAGAGGGGTAGGTAGTAGGAATAAAGTGGTTCTCAAGTCAAGTCAGCTCATCATAAGGTAGTTATTACACTCTGCAGTTTGGAGGACTGTGTGCAGGATGTGAAGTCTGATTTGTTTTGGAATCTCAGTTCAGAGTATGACTTATAAAAAGACTGTAAAGGCTCTTTGCTGTTTGAAAATCTGTGTCTCAGAGGTTTAGGTGTTTGAGATGTTTGTGGGTCTCTGTCCCAGGGTTGGTTTCTTTTTGTTTGTTTGTTTGTTTTTCTTTTCTGTTTTTCTGTTTACGTTGGTCCAGAATGTCCGAAGGTTTCTAACCTGTTTATGGATCTTTGTCCCCGGATGTGCAGGATTTTTTTTTCTTTTTTTTTGTGTGTGTGTCTTTACTTTTATTTATTTATTTTTGAGACAGGATCTTGCTCTGTCACCCAGGCTGGAGTGCAGTTGTGTGATCTCAGCTCACTGCAGCCTTCACTTGCCAAGCTCAGGTGATTCTCCCACCTCAGCCTCCTGAGTAGCTGGGACTACAGACACATGCCCCCACACCCGGCTAATTTTTTTTATTTTTTGTGGAGATGGGATTTTACTATGTTGCCCAGGCCTTTTTGTATGTTTTTAGAGGCCGGGTCTCTCTCTGTTGCCCAGGCTGGAGTGCAGTGGTGCAATCATGGCTCACTTCAGCCTTGACCTCTGGCTCAAACAATCCTCCCACCTTAGCCTCCTGAGTAGATGGGACCACAGGCACATACCACCATGCCTGGCCCGGCTAATTTTTTTTTTTTTTTCTTGTACGCTGGGCACGGTGGCTCACACCTGTAATCCCAGCACTTTGGGAGGCCAAAGTGGGTGGATCACTTGAGCCCAGGAGTTTGAGACCAGCCTGGCCAAGTTGGTGAAACCCTATCTCTACCAACAAACAAACAAACAAACACACACAAATGTAGCCGGGTATGGTGGTACGTGCCTGTCGTCCCAGCTACTCAGGAGGTCAAGGCTGCAGTGAACGGTGATTGCACCACAGCACTCCAGCCTGAGCAACAGAGCAAGACCCTGTCTCAAAATAATTTTTTTTTGTGGCAACAGGGTCTCCCTCTGTTTCCTAGGCTGGTCTCAAACTCCTGGGCTCAAATGATACTCCTGACTCAGCCTCTCAAAGTGTTGGGATTACAGATGTGAGCCACCGCACTCGGCCTTTTTTTTTTCTTAAAATTGATTTTCATTTTTCTTTTATTGGCATTTCTGTGACTGCTGGAGGAGCTTAACATTGTTTTCTGTGCTTGTTGGCAAGATGTATTTAAGTTTTGTTTTGTTTTGTTTTGTTTTGAGACAGGGTCTCACTGTGTTGCCCAGGCTGAGTACAGTGGCATGCACATGGCTCACTGCAGCCTTGACCTCCTGGGCTTAAGCAGTCCTCCCACCTCAGCCTCCTGATCCTAAGTAACTGAGACCACAGCCATGTGCCACCACACCCCACCAATTTTTTAAATTTTTTTGTGAAGACCACGTCTCACCATGTTGCCCAGGCCGGTCACGAACTCCTGGGCTCAAGGGATCCTCCTGCCTTACCCTCCCAAAGTGCTGGGATTACAGGCATGAGCCACTGCACCTGGCCTTATTTAAGTTTTCTAAATTCCTTTTTATGTCCTGTGATCATTTTTGTTAAAATTTTTATTTTATTTTATTTTTTGGACACAGGGTCTTGCTTTGTCACCCAGGCTGGAGTGCACTGGTGTGATCATGGCTCACTGAAGCATCGACCGCCTGGGCTCAAGCAATCCTCCCACCTCAGCCTCCCAAGTAGCTGGGAATACAGGTGTGTACCACCACCTTTGGCTAATTTTTGTATTTTTTTAGGGAAGGAGTTTCACCATATCGCCCAGGCTGATCTCCAACTTCTGAGCTCAAGTGATCTACCCACCTCAGCCTCTGAAAGTGCTGGGATTACAGATGTGAGCCACTGTGTCCAGCCTTTAACGTTTTTTAAATTTTCAAAGCACTTTAGACTTAAAAAAATTATAAAAATAGTACAGAGAGTTCTTGTATACTCTTTTTCCCTTAATGTTAACTTATATAATCTTAGTACAATTTTTTAAACCAGGAAATGAATGACACTGTTATTTATGAGCTGTTGTTCACCTGTTTGTGTCCAGGGTGTGAAATATCTGAGCTCTTTGGACCCAGAGCTCTCTTGGGTCTCACTGTTTTGTGTCTCGTGATGTGTTGTCTCTGAACATTTGGTGTATGTTTTTAGATGCTAGCGCTTTCATCTTCTTGGTAGTCTTTGTCGCAGAGTATGATGTCTTTGACCTGTTAGTGGTCTCTTTAGGCTTGTCTTCTCTGGGCTGTATGGGCTTCCATGTTCAAGGTGTGAGGTTTCTGAGCACTTTGAAGGACAATATTCAAAGATGTGTGTACTATCAGCTGGTTTTTATTGTCTTCTATCAGAGATTATGAGGTCAGTAAATACTTTTAGGTTCTGTATCCAGGGCAGGGTTCCTCAGCCTTGGAACTATTGACATTTTGGACCAGAAATTTCTTTGTTATGGAGGGCTATTCTTTGCATTGTAGGATCTATTGTATTCGTTTACTAGGGCTGCTGTCATGACAAAGTACCACAATCTGGGTAGCTTAAATAGCAGAAATGTATTGTCCCACAATTCTGGAGGCTGGAAGTATGAGATCAGGGTGTTGGCAGGGTTGGTTCCTTTGGGGGCTGTGAGGGGAATGTGTGCCCTGCATCTTTCCTAGCTTCGCATGCCTGCTGGTAATCTTTGCTGTTCCCTGGCTTCTGTTGCATCACCCCATCTCTGCTTTCATCTTTACCTGGCATTCTCCCTGTGTGTCTCTGTCCAAATTTCCCCTTTTTATAAAGACAACAGTGGCGCAGGATTAGGATTAGGCACTCTACTCCAGCATGATCTCTAACTTAACTAATTACATCTGCAACAACCCTATTTCCAAATAAGGTCACATTCTGAGGTACTGGGGTTTAGGACTTCAACGTAGGAATTTTGAGGGGATATAATTTCACCCGTAAGAGATGTTTAGCATGAGAGAGAAAGGGAGGAAAGAAGGGAGCAGCCCCTGATACCCAGAAGCAGGCCTGACCCCCATAGCTAGGCCATGTTATTCTCCTAACAGACATGAACAATCTCACAGAATACTAGCCCCAGGTAAGGTTAGTCTGAGACCATGATAAAATCGACAGAGCTTGGCTGGATGAGGTGGCTCACGTCTGTAATCCTAGCACTTTGGGAGGTCGAGGTGGGCAGATCGCTTGAGCTCAGGAGTTCGAGACCAGCCTGGACAACATGGTGAAACCCCGTCTCTACAAAAAATACAAAAATTAGTTGGGCATGGTGGCGGGTGCCTGTAATCCCAGCTACTTGAGGGACTGAGGCTGGAAGATTGCTTGAACCCAGAAATTTGAGGTTACAGTGAGCTGAGATCATGCCACACTGCACTACAGCCTGGGGATAAAGTGAGATCTTGTCTCAAAAAAATAATAAAATAGGCCGGGCGTGGTGGCTTATGCCTGTAATCCCAGCACTTTGGGAGGCTGAGGCGGGCGGATCATGAGGTCAGGAGATTAAGACCATCCTGGCTAACACGGTGAAACCTCACCTCTACTAAAAATACAAAAAATTAGCCGGGCGTGGTAGTGGGCACCTGTAGTCCCAGCTACTCTGGAGGCTGAGGCAGGAGAATGGCATGAACCCGGGAGGTGGAGCTTGCAGTGAGCCAAGATCGCGCCACTGCACTCCAGCCTGGGAGACAGAGCGAGACTCCATCTCAAAAAAAAAAAAAAAAAAAATAGAGCACAGCCACTTTATAATGCTGTCTAAGCACAAACAAAAATAAGGATTCACTGTGTTGCCCATAAAATACCAAACATTCTCCTCTCTTGGTTAAAATGAGTGACTGCCACTTCCTTACCAATGACAGCGTTAGCCTCACTCTGTTCTGCCCTCCCTATAGATAAGATTTATTGAAATACCCAATTGTAAAATTGCCCTTGTTTTTTGACAGCATCTAATCTAGAGTGAGCCCCCACTTCCTTAGACCTTCCCCCAAATCACTCAAACCCCACCACCCCACACTTCCCCATGGAGTTTGTTCTCCCTCGCTGCAATGAGTAATCATCCCAACTTGTTCAACTACAAGTATGTTCCTGGGTGGGGTGGGGGTCTTTGGCTAAAGGACACTGGCAAGCAGTATCCCTGGCTTCAACTCACAGATGACAGTAGCACCCCCACAACACACACACACATTTGTGACAGCCAAAATGTCCTTAGATATTGCCAAATGTTCTTTGGGGTGCAGAATCGCCTCTGGTTGAGAACCACTGGTCTGGGGTATGAAGCATTTGAACAATTTGGGGGTCTTTGTCTGAGGTTTATAGTGTGAGGTCTGTGGTCTGTCTTACGGTTTCTGTTCCAAGGTTTGAAAGCTCTGAGCTCTTTTGGGGTGCTATATCAGGAATTAGTGACCTTATCACATACCGAATCCAGACATGTGGTATGTGTGACATCCCCCTTTCCCTCTGCCTGAACTATA